GGAGTTCTTGAGAGGAGGTAGACTTCCAAGCTTGATCCCTAGAGATCGAACCGTTAGATCCGTGTTCTAAGGACTTGGACCTTTGCCTTGACCCCGACGTCCCAAGAACTAACGTGAGTGGTATTTTTAATAAAGTTATGTTCTTAAGGTTTTGATAAATCTTTTCCTTGTTTTGATAAAAGTATTTGTTAAGTATGAATGATATCCCTATTTTATGCATCAAGTATAAACTCTGTTTTGGATGGCAATGTATCAAGTAAGCTTTGTTTTGATGACAATCTTTGGAAGTCCGTACGTGCTAGGGGACTATAAGCATTAGTAGCACACATGTGAAGTCCGTACGTGCCAGGGGACTCTAAGCTTTTGTGGCACCTTTGTTTGTTTGGCCCGGAATGTCATCACCCCATGTTATAAGATTGACGTATGTTAAGTAAGTTTTTTAAGATCAAGTTTGATGAACAGAATTTATCTCATGTTTTGTACAAGCTATGATAAGTATGGTTTTGACAAAGGAGAAAAAAGCACTAAAACAAATTCCAATCAGTTCAAAACGGAGGAAATTAAGAGGTTTTAGCGAATCAACTTTGCGTGGGGCGTTGGAAAACTCTTATAAAGCATGGATCTTGGGGGGGAAACTACCTAGAAAGGAAGAGGAAAGATTTTCGGCTATGTAGGTATGAGGAAATGAAGTTTGGGTGTGGTTACTTAAAGGCCCGAGGAGAAAAGACCAAAATGGCCTCAAATTGCCATCGGTGGCTGACGGCCACCATTTGTGGTCGACAACATTCATTTGTGGTCGACATGTGGCCGACACTTCTCCAGGGTAGCTGACAAGCTTCCAATGTTCTCCCTATGTGTTTTGCTGTGGTTTTGTGCCCTTGGTTCTTGAGAAAGTGCAAGGAAAGTTCACTTTTCAGCTCAAAGTGTCTCTACGGAAGTTTCGAACCATGTCTTCGGTGCATGACTCATCACTAGTCAACATGAATGAGGTGTATCCTTTTTGAGATATATTGCAACTCCTCCAAGAGGTAAATCGGAGGTTGCAACTGAGTCAACTTTATTAGACACACTTTTTGTCATTGCATAGAATGGGCATTTCTTTATTTGGTGTTTTGCGTTGAGCATGCTACTAATCTCGCATAGAACATGCATCCTACACTATTACACGGAACATGCATTCAATATTGTTGCATAGAATATGCATTCCGATGTTGCATAGAATGTGCTCCGATTTTAACTGCATAGAGCATGCTCCAAATAATTATGCATAGAACATGCTTTTATTATTACTGCATAAAACTTGCTTTCCTAATCTTGCGTAGAACATGAACTCTTACCGTGTTGTGCTTGTTAAGTTTCTTTCTTATGCAGGCATGATATCGTACGTACGATTCACTCAGAGGAGTTCCAAGTGAAATCATTCATGTCCTTCGAACTACTCTTTTTGGTTAGAAACATTCGAGCGTGTCCCAGTGTTTTCACCACTCCATTTGGTTAGAAGCATTCAAGCGTGTCCCGGTGTTTACACCACTTCTTTGGATTAGAAACATTCGGGTATACCTGGTGTTTACACCACTCCTTTTGGTTAGAAGCATTCGGGCGTGTCCCAGTGTTTACACCACTCCTTTTAGTTAGAAGCATTCGGGCGTATCCCGGTGTTTACACCACTCTTTTGGTTAGAAACATTCGGGTACGCCCAGTGTTTAACCACCCTCTTTCCTCTCTTGCGTGCGGCGCGTTAGGACGCTTTCGGTTAGAGACATCTGGGTGCGTCCCGATGTTCTCGTTACCTCTTTCTCCTCTCACGTGTGACGCGTTAGGATGCTTTCGATTAGAAACATTCAGGTATGCCTGGTGTTTACACCACTCTCTTCTCCTCTCGTGTGCGACGCGTTAGGACACTTTGGTTAAAAGCATTTGGATGAGTTCTGATGCTTATACCACTCTTTGTTTTGGTTACAAATATTTGGATGTGTTTTGATATTTATCACCATTCCCTTTGGTTAGGAACATTCGGGTGTGTCCCTGTTTTCACACCATCTTTCTCCTCGCATGTGCAACGCGTTAGGACCCTGTTTGACACCTCGGGTGCGCCCGACAGTTGTGTTGTTCTCTGCCTTTCATGCGTGATGTGTTGTTAAGTTTGCATAATTTTCTTGCATCCTATCTGCATGAAATGTAGTTTGGTTCATATTTTCTTACTTTTGTTCATGTTTAAGTTTACTATACTGTGTATCGGTTTATTCAAATGGAGCATTTCTTTGCAAAACACTTGCATCTAAATGTTTCATTACAGCCTCATTGCATGATCATAAGTTATGTTCCTGCATCGTGCATATCATTTGCATCTTGCCCCAGAACTACGCTGGTTTGATTCCTTGCAAGGGGATACGTAGACAGCCTGTGGGCGCAACCATCTTTGTCTTGCTTGTTTGTTTGTCCAAGTCTTCAGCCTTATAAAAAATGAGTCGTCTCTGGGCTTTGACAGTCACTCTTGTCATTTAATGACTTCCGAGTTCTATCAAAGAGGGGCAACTGTAGACACCCATTTTTGACCGTCCTCAAGACTTGGACATCATCGTTTATGCATTCGATGATTGTGCTTGTTTGTGTTCGTTTTGGGCGCCTGAGGTCCTCGGTGGAACCCCTTGTCTTTGAGCCTCTAAACCTTGCCTGTTTTGTGCATGTTTTTGGACCAAGAGCAAGCTTGTTGCCTCTTGCCTAGAGAGGAGGGTGGCCTGTCGACCAACCATAGACCTTCTCGGCCACAAGTTGTGCCTGTCGGCCACCAGTGATGGCCGGTCGGCTACCAGTGGTGGTCGACGGCCATTTGTCTTCTTTTTCAGATATTTGTCTGCCAGATGTGCCAATTGTTGCTCACTGAAGTGCATCTCCATACACGTGTACGGTAGGATGATTTCAAGCTTAAACCTTGTTTTTCTATATATAGGGGGTGCTCTCCCCTATTTGGAGGGGTTAGAAAATTTAAAACAAAAATTCTCTCTCTCTCTCTCTCTCTCTTCTTATTTTGCGCCTTAAAGTCTAGTTTCTCTACACTTTTGCACATCAATCCTTAACCACACACTCACCTTTGAGTTGAGGTTCTTTGGAGTTTAGTTTGAGCTCTTGAAGGAGGCTTGAGTTGGAATTTGGGGCAGTTTTGTGCTTGAGCTTCAAAAGATAGTTCACTTGCTTAGTGTACTTGCTTTGACTACTTATTTTGCCATCCTTTTGTATTGTTTTTGAGCTGGTTTTCAACAACAAAAAATTCAGTTTTTTGAGGCTTAACATGATGGTTTGAGGCTATTTTGTGTTAAGGGGTGATCCACCCTTCTTGTTGCTTAGTTGTGTAGACTTTTGCACCATCTTTTAGCATATTCAAATCAAACTTTTTGGGCCTTTTAACCACTAAAAATCAGAGTTACTTAGTTACAAAAACCTACTTTTGAGGTCCAAAATTGGTCCCCTCCTTGTGTCTTGTTTGCATGCCTAGTTAGCCTCATAAGTTAGCATGTTTTTGTAGCTTATCTTAGCCTATTTCCAGCATGTTTTTGTCTTTGATTTGGGCTGCTTTGGCTCTGTTTTGGGCTATTTGTACTGTATGAGTAGTCTTTTGCATAGTTGTAGTGTAAAGGACTTCACTAGCTTAATGTTTTGGGCTTTTAAACATGCATTGAATGAGTTGCTTGTATGTTTTAGTGTCATTTTTCACTCCATTTCAGCACGAAAATCTCTGCAATCTCCCTCTATTCTTCACTGTTTCATTTATTTTGAAAGGGGCTTTGAACCCCTTGTTGGCTTAAGTGTGAAATAGAGACATTCATGCTTAATAGTTTAATTCTCTCGGGAGTTCATTATCAACAGCATGAAGTCTCTTTCATGCTCAAGGCACTTGTGGTTTAAGCCCACTTTCAATTAGAGGACACACACCTTTTGGACTAATTAATTAAAGAATGGATTGGTAACCTAAAATGGGTAAACAAAAGTGAACAAGTAAAAAAGGCAAGATAAAGCATCTTTGTGTTGCATTGCATGTGTTCGGATCGGACGTTAATTCGAACCCGAGGAAAAGGGGATGTTTCATACTCGAAGTGATGAAACGTGCCATTTTCCTTGGTCACCATTACCCTTGATCATGCATGATAGGGTAATGGTTTTGTTGAGTCTTGTTTTACACTCATTAAGCTTGTACATGCTTGGTTCCTTAGCCATCATGCATGGAACATGCTTGGTTGATGGTTTGAGGGCCAAGAGTTGCACTCCTTTGAAATTGTGTTATGATAAGGAGGGCAACAGTGCACACAATCTTGAGAATGCACTGCTTTGCCTATGTTTGCTCTCTGTTGCAGCAAAAAAGAAAGTTCAGGGAAGGGGTGGCTGACCGGCCGCTAGTAGCAACCGACCGGCCACCAATGGTAGCCGACCGGCCATCAATGAAAATTTTGCACAAGTGTGTTCCTGAGTTGAAGCAGAGGCATCCTAGAAGTGGGTAGTACTGTTGGTGATCAAATGTGTGCAAACAGAGGCTGCAATGGCATGGCAATGACATTTTCGGGAGGAAAATCCAAGCATGCATGTGTCCCTCGCCCTTGAGGCCATTCATTTGCTTTAGCTAACTTAGAATAGCTAGTTAATTCAAATGTTGTACTCAATTAGTTAGTGTAACTAATTATTCAATTCCGATTTGTAATATTTAATTAGTTTAGAATAGTTAGTTAAATATCATGTTGTAATAATTAACTTAGAATAGTTAATTAGTTTCATTGTGCTGTAATAGTTAGCTTAATTAGCGTAGCTAGTTAGCTTATTCATTCGGACCCTCCTTCGCGAGGGCATAATGTTGTAATAAGTGTGCATGCGCGTGTGCATGTCTTCCAACCCCACGTCTTTCTCCTTTTTATTTAATCGTTTTCGATGGTTAAATTAGGGACATTTTCAATTAGCATACCTTATGCTTGTACGTTTGCATCCATTCATTTGTCTTGCTGGTGAGGTTCCCATCGGGCAGGGAGACATGCAGATGCCGGTCGGACCTCGAGGTAGCCGGTGGAGGGTTGACATGAGCCACGAGGTCGTATCGACCCACGTAGTGGTCGTGTATAGAGACCAGCTTGACCGGATGATAGACGGCGAGGTATCAAATTTAAATACCTAAATTTTAATTGTCATATGGACTGTATATGTTTATGAGCGATTTTTAATAGACTTGTCGTTATTGTAGTTTATCTGGCAGCCTTATGCTGATGTCCTCCAGACGCTCCCAGACTACTGCCGCCTAGGTGAGGATATATGGATGGCGAGAGTACCACTCATTTGTTTTGACGTGGTTGAGTGGCATCTCCCTGATCGTGTCCTCCGACAGTTTGGTCGGGTCCAGGCCGTGCCGGATCGGTGTGACACCAAGTGGCGGTTGCATGCGACGGATAGACGTGGTCGAGCCAGCACTGACTGGAGTCAGCATCATATGCGATACATACAGTTGTGGGATGCCCGTCGCGACACTATTGTACAGGCTGACTGGAGCGATGGGGTCCTCCCCTCTCCCGACCCTTACATGTTGTGGTATCGGCGACATACACACCTACTTGTCGGTAATCCGAGCCACCTGTCCGAGGCCGGATATCAGGGAGTTGGGCCTTCTCTCGAGTCATTGGTGAGTAGCGTACTATATCTCCGATAATTGTTAATATCATAATTGATTATTTTCAGTCAACTATAGCCTAATATATCTATTTTTTTTACAGGTGGTTCGAGCTGGGAGGTCATATCACTTGGCTGAGGATGCTATTTTCAGACGTGATGGACAGCTTGGTCTGCAGGCCCTTGTAGAGATCAGAGAGTTATTGTACGAGGGGATCCAGCATGCCCATCGGGTAGATCGTCTGCATTTTGGGGACTACGGTGTACACACTGCAGCAGCTGCTCCAGACACATCAGTCCCGTCCACGTCAGTGCCTTCCAGTTCAGCGCCAGCCACAGCAGGTCCTTCGACTTCAGTCACCCCACCACATGATACCCCATACATTTCTCCATATTCCCCACACGTACATCTTACCCAGCATGCTGACCCTGACCCTGATTGGTCACCGCCCCGCTTCATACATGATGTTATTACCCCACCCACCCAGTTACATCCTACTTTTCTGGGGAGTACTTCGACCGCCCCCCGGTTCATGCATGATATTGCTACCCCACCCACCCAGTTACCACCTGCTTTTATGGGGACTACTTCGACCGCGCCCAGGAGTACACATGATGCAGTTCTCACTGACATCTCACACATTGATGATGAGGGCCATATTGAGCCCCCCCCAGAACGCGAGGGAGAGGTTGTGGTCGTGGGGGACGTCACGGCCGAGGTCGGGGTGCGGGCAGAGGCAGAGGTCGTGGTCCAACTGCAGATCGTGATACAGTTGCACCAGACGAGGGAGTGGGAGTTTGTAACAACCCTCATACTGTTTACTGATTAGGGACTGATTGATTACCGATAATCACCGATTACTGCTAAACGGAACTGATGATGACTGATAACTGACTGATAATTGAACTGATTAAAGTACTGAACTGACTGACTGAAATCGGAAACTGAATTGACTGAGTATATGTTAGTTAATTGCATTCTATCTGTTTGATTGTCTGATTATCTGTTCATGTTTATATGTTTAAACTGCTAATTGAAGGCCTTATCGGCGGCCGAATTAGAAACCGATTGATGTTCCGTGACCCTCATAATTTATGTGATTTTATAGTACAATTATCTGAAAATTGATTAGGTATGATTAAATTAGATTAAAATAAGCTAATTAAAGAGTTGGACTTAATTACCATTTTGCCACTTAAGTGGCCCACTACTTGGGTCACCCTTGATTCTCTTTACACTCTTGCATACACATTTTGAGCATACCACCGACCTTGAGGGAGAGAGGGAGAAAATAGAATTGTTCTTGGGGGTTTGGCTTAGTCAACTTGAAGAATTACTTGAAGAATTGAAGGTTGATTACTAATTTGAGCTCACTCACCTCTAATTCTACACCTAAGGTAGATCATTCATCATCTTAATGGTGTCCTTGAGTTGTTCTTGCATGATTCATGCCTCATTTGTAGAGCTAAGTCATGATTTGGTTCATTAATGGTGGATTGAAGCTCATCTCTTGCATGCATGTTAGTTTTGTTGCATTTTGAGGTTGATTACACGGACATTAGTACATGCATGCTCATATTGTTGTCATAGACCATGTTTTCATCTGGTTTTGGAAAGACATGAGCTCATTTGAGCAAGCTTTGGAGCTTCAATTTGGTTTAAAACTCATTCATGCATGTTCGCATGTTCTTCCTATTCTTGAATAATGGTTTGAAATTGGGTTTGAATAAAACACCCTTGGGCTTTGATTTCTCAAATTGAGCCTTGATTCATGTTATTCTGTGTGTTTATAAATGTTTTCCAGAAAATGGGCCCAAGAGGATTGGTTTTGATGCATTTGAATGTGAGTTTGAGCTTGGAGGTGCAATCTGGAATTCCCAGATTCTGCACTTCCGCTTGAGCGGGGGAAGTGCCGCTCGAGCGTGGAATCTGAGCATCCTGTATCTCTGCACTGTTTTACTGTCCGCTCGAGCGGAGGATTGGGCACTCGAGCGGAGTCATGTCTCAAGCTCGAGCGGGCGTCGAGCGGAGATTTCACCCATCCAGTACTTTTACAGTACGCTCGAGCTGAAAAGTTTACGCTCGAGTGTGTACCTTTGTTGCATGTCCGCTCGAGCGGGGAAACATGCGCTCGAGCGGGACTCTATTTTTCTGAAAACTCCGAGACTGTTTTCCGATCACATCTTTGCATCCTCATCCCATTCTAGGCATTCTTAGACCTAGTTTAAGGCATCTTGTTGAGGATATAGATGTAGAGCACACCGAGGCATTAGGGATTAAATTATGATATTTCCCAGCTATGTAGCTTATTGTGTGTTCAACCTGTGAACTGTGTAGGGCTGGCGACTGGGGAGACACGCTCTAGCATACTGTAGCCCAAACTCTGTGAGTAACAACTGTGTAAAGATATGTTCAAAATGATTATTTTCTGAACAATTGAATTGTACTGCTTTCTGAAATGTTCCTGTTAATTGAATGAATGTATGTCCTCTATTCTAAACTGTATTGTGGCATCCTTAGCAACTACTGTTACTGACTGTTACTGTTACAGAGATCTCTGTCGGTTCCCTCGTGGAACCACTACTGTTTACGGATTGATGGCCATCAATACTGTTCGGTGTTTAAGACTTACTGTTTACTGCTATGCTATTGGATGTACCACATATGATTGAATAACTGTTCTGACCGAAATACTGATTTAATGGACTGTTTTCATTACTGTAAGGACATTTCATTCATAACCCCTTTACACATTATGTTATTCACTGGGCTTTAGCTCACTGTTTATATATATGTAGGAGCTCAGCCACCAGATCAGAGCTAGGAGCGCGGGTTAGACTCCAGTTTTGTCAAGCCAGCCTTTGTGCCTCACTGAGAGGTTCCGAGTTGCCATGCTAGGGCTTCGGAGTGTTTTACAATTCCCCCTTCTGTACCGTCTACTGTTCTGTATAGACTGAATGTTTACTGTACTGTTATCAAGGGATTAGGTCCCTGTACTGTGTGACTGTAAATTTTGTATAGACTGCACTGTTTGTGTATGTGAATGCATGAAAAATCTTTTTGGCATACAGACTGACACAGCTCAATGGACATTATTCATTTACTGTATTGGCTTCCGCCAGGCCCTGTACTCTGTTTTACTGTACTACTGTTCTGCAGGCCTAAAACAAAATTGTAATTAGAAGACGTCACCAACTGGGCGTTCGGTGATGTTGCATGTTGTTCTCGTTGCGTTGGTTCAAACCTAAAGCTAGTTATACCGCACACACGTGTCCAAATGAGCTATAGGGTGTCCTAGAAAAGTGATTAGGGCATCTCATGAACTTGAAAAGTGTGTGGCTATGTTATGACTGAATACATGTTGGTGTGATAACTGTTTAAATATGCAACTGTTTATGTTACAATTGCTATAACTGTTATAACTGCTAATAGTGAAATGGACAATGCAAATGAACCTGAATCCTCAGCTACTGAGGCAAGAATGGAAAGAATGGAAAGAATGATGGAACTGATAACTGCTAGACTTGAACAACAACAGAACCAAAAACCCCCACCTCCTCCTCCTCCAGTACAGCCGGAACCTAATGCGAATGTGAATGATGGGGATATTATTGCTCTCACCCATAAATTCAGCAAGATGAAACCGCCATCCTTTCAGGGAGGACTAGAACCGCTAAAGGCTGAAGCTTGGGTGCTTGAAACAAAAAAACTATTTGAGGTGTTCCCGTGCTCAGAAGCGAATAAAGTATTGCTAGCTACCTTCACCGTACAAGAAGAAGCTAGAAGGTGGTGGATGTTAATCCGCGATACAAATACTGTTATGACTTGGGCTCAGTTCAAGGAGTCCTTCTTTGAAAAGTATTTCCCTCAGTGTGTTAGGGATAGAAAAGTGACTGAATTTGAACAGCTGAAGCAGGGCACGATGTCCGTTGCGGAATATGAGATGAAATTCTGAAGCTTGGGTTCTGGAAACAGAAAAACTATTTGAAGTGTTCCCGTGCTCAGAAGCGAATAAAGTACTGTTAGCTACCTTCACCTTACAAGAAGAAGCTAGAAGGTGGTGGATGTTGATCCGCGATACAAATACTGTTATGACTTGGGCTCAGTTCAAGGAGTCCTTCTTTGAAAAGTACTTCCCTCAGTGTGTCAGGGATAGAAAAGTGACTGAATTTGAACAGCTGAAGCAGGGCACAATGTCCGTTGCGGAATATGAGACAAAATTCACCGAGCTTGCTAGATATGCATCGCATATGGTGGATACTGAATATAAGAAGGCCAGGAAGTTTGAAGGCGACCTTAATGTTGCAATTCTCGACAGAATCAATGTTTTGAAGCTACTGAACTATGTAAATGTTCTTGACCGAGCCTTGATGGCTGAATCAAACATTGAAGCACTGAAAACTGAAACACCAACGTCGGAATGGCATAGTAAGAGGCAGGGTTTTAAATTCAAGAAAGGCAAGCACAACCCGGCCAACAAGAAATAGAATACGGGGTCGACAACTAACCCTAGTCAAGGGAGTGGGTTCATTCCACCCTGCTCTGTATGTGGCAACAAGCACAAAGGGGTTTGTCACAAAATATCCGGAGCTTGTTACAGGTGTGGCAAAGTGGGCCACATGGTTAGAGACTGTCCCTCTGCTCCGCAAGTTAGTAGCAAAGCTACGCCAAGCGCAACAGCGTCAACTGTAGCACCAAAGCCTAACCCCAAAGCTACCGGGAAGGAACCCATGAGGCAGGGCCGAGTATTCGCCCTAGTACCGGGAGACGTGCAAAATACTGAGACCGTTGTGTCAGATATTCTCTCTATTTGTACACAAAATGCATATGTATTGATTGATTCGGGGTCTACACATTCTTATGTATCGCATGTTTTCTCATGAAAATTGAATAGACCCTTAGAACCTATGAACTATCTGCTAGCCGTATCATCACCCGTAGGAGGGTCCATGACATGTGCTTATATGTACCCCGCATATGAAATCCTTGTTGGGGATATGCATCTGTTTATTGATTTACTACCATTGAACATTGATCATTATGATGTAATATTGGGGATGGATTGGTTACAAAAATATCATGCCACTATTGATTGTGTGACCATGCAAGTTGTTTTCCGTCCACCTGGTTTGCCTGAATTCGTGTTTAATGGGAGTGGAGTAGTACCTCCTCCGTATTTGATTTCGTCAGTGAAAGCCGTTAAATTAGTTAGGAAGGGGTGTAAAGGATATCTGTGTTCTGTACTGACTGTATCTACTGATGATAATGCTAACGTGAACTGTATCCCTATAGTCAGAGAATTCCCAGATGTCTTTCCAGACAATTTGCCAGGAGATTTGATTGACAGGGAGATTGAGTTTACTGTTGACGTGGTTCCCGGAACACAGCCGGTTTCTAAAGCTCCGTACCGAATGGCTCAAACTGAATTGAAAGAACTGAAAGTGCAACTGCAAGAACTGTTAGAAAAAAAGTTCATCAGACCCAATACCTCACCATGGGGTGCGCCTGTTTTGTTTGTAAAGAAGAAAGATGGCTCATTGAGATTGTGTATAGATTACCGTGAACTGAACAAGGTAACTGTGAAAAATAAATACCCATTACCGCGCATTGATGACTTATTTGATCAGTTACAGGGTGCTCAAGTGTTTTCTAAGATCGATCTCAGATCGGGATATGTTACTGTTATGCTAATGGATGTACCACATATGACTGTTTACTGTACTGAGCAACTGAAATACTGATTGAAATGAACTGTTTTCATTACTGTAAGGACATTCATTCTAAACCCCTTTACGCTTTATGTTATTCACTGGGCTTTAGCTCACTGCTCATATATATATGTAGGTGTTCAGGCACCAGACCGCAGCTAGAGGCGTCAGGGTTACTCCAGTTTTGTTAAGCCAGCCTTTGTGCCTCACTGTGAGGTTCCGAGTTGCCATGCTATGGCTTGGGGGTGTTTTGTTCGTTTTTCCCCCTTCTGTACTGTTTTACTGTTCTGTATAGACCGAGTGTTACTGTACTGTTATCTAGGGTCGAGTCCCTAGTCTGAATGATTGTAAATATTGTGTATACTGTTCTGTACTGTTTATGTATAAATGAATGAAAAACCTTTTTGCATTCAGACTGTCACAGCTCAATGGACACTATTTATTTACTGTATTGGCTTCCGCCAGGCCCTGTACTCTGTTTTACTGTATTACTGTTCTGCAGGCCTTCGGTAATCTCGGATTACTGGCCGGTTACGGTGCTAAACCCAAAAACATCTGACGGTTATGCATTATCTCAATCTCATTATATTGAGAAAATTCTTGATAAAATTATCAAGGATAATGTGAATTTAACTAGAACACCTGTAGACATCAGTCTTTATTTATCGAAAAATAAAGGTGATGCTGTGTCTCAGTTAAAATACTCCCAAATCATTGGAAGCCTAATGTACCTAATGAATTGTACTCGTCCTGATATAGCTTATGCTATCAGTAAATTGAGTAGGTACACTAGTAACCCTGGAGAAGACCATTGGAAAGCGATCATTCGGGTTCTTAGATATCTAAGATTTACTCATGATCATGGTTTGAACTTTACTCGATATCCAACAGTACTCGAAGGTTATTGTGATGCCAATTGGATATCAGATACTAAAGATTCAAAATCCACTAGTGGATATGTCTTTACTCTAGGAGGCGTTGCTGTTTCTTGGAAGCTCACGAAACAAACTTGCATCGCACGATCCACAATGGAATCGGAGTTCATTGCTTTAGACAAAGCAAGTGAAGAAACAGAATGGCTTCGTCACTTCTTAGAAGACATTCCAATGTGGCCAAAACCTGTGCCAGCTATTTGCATTCATTGTGATAGTCAATCTGCAATAGGCAGGGCACAGAATCACATGTATAACGGTAAGTCACGACATATACGTCGTCGACATAATACCGTAAGGCAATTGTTGTCAAACGGAATAATCTCAATAGATTATATAAAATCTAAAGAGAATATTGCGGATCCGTTAACAAAAGGTATGACAAAAGAGCTAGTGTATAGTTCATCAAAGGGGATGGGATTAAAGCCTATTACATAAAAGTCGTCATAATGGTAACCCTACTTATATGACTGGAGATCCCAAGAACTAAGTTCAAAGGGACAACTAAGTTATGTATGGCTCACCAGAAATCACCAAGGGATTAAAAATTCCCTACCCATTCCTATGGTGAGAGTGATATCTGCAACATATGTTGTCTGCAGGGGTATAAGGATAAGCTTTGCTTTTAATGATTACTTATATCTTAATTAAGACATAAAATCAAGACGAGTATAAGGAGATACTCACAATAAGAATCACCTATATGAGTGTTGAACTAAGGCCGGTTCTATGAGAATGAAGAGGCTAAATTCTCTAGAAACACTTATGAAAACCAGGTGCGTTCAAGGCTGAAAAATATTTTTAAAAACTAAAAAATATACAAAAATATGAAAATTGTATTGAATTTTCTTTTCTTTTTTTTTGTATTTTTTGGTATTTAGTGTATTTTTTAAATATTTTTTTCATAAATATTATACTTTTTAAGTATATTTATATTAGGCGTGTCTAAAAATTTAAAAAAAAATTTAAAACATTAAAAAAATTCATTGAAAATATTAAAATACAAAAAATAAAAGGGTAAAATTTTCTAAAAAACTGTTTTCTAAAAATCAGAACCAAACAAGCTGTATGTTTTTTCAAATTATTAAAGGTGTGAACTAAGTAATGGGGTGCCTTAAGACCAAATGTGGTGTGTAAATAGAGTCACCCGGATTAGATGGAATAAAACACTTAAAAATGAGATTTATCCCAAAAAAAAATAACCCAAAACTAAACATTCAAAAAATGACTGTTGATATCCCATATAGAATATAATAAGGATCGAGAATTAAGTGGAATTTTTTATTTTAAAATTTAAAACACTTTTAAAAAAATTAGAAAAATAAAAAAAAATAAAAAATAAAAAAAAGGTAGGTATGTTTATTGTTTCAAAAATAAATATAATTGTAAAATCATTAAGTCTGACTGAAATGACTCAAGTAATATTAAACATATTTATTTCACTAATGGGTCTAAAAAACTTTAACCTTATACATTCTTAAAAGATGTATTATGATATCATTGCAAAAAAAATAAAAAACATAAAAATAAAAAAAAAATTAAAGGCATGTTAGATATGGGTGAATCTGATTGCTCAATAATAAACCCTCTAATTACTAAAATAACAATAAATTATACATCAATCAATCAATATTAGTTATTTTCATCCTAAACAATCTCATAATGATATCATTTCATTTTTAATATTAAATAAAAAATAGAAAATAATCGAACTAATAACAAAGTCATCATTTTGTAAATGAAGACTTTTATGAGTCTAGAAAATAACTTATATATTATTTTCATTTTATAAATTTAATCACAATCAATTAATATTATCATATTTATATATAAAAAAACACATTTTGTTTTAAATCTCTAACCTAATATCCTCATATTAAAATGCATCATACTCATGATCACATCCACATTAATTTCACAATCAAACGTCACCATTTATCTTAATCGGAATCCCTTCCCATTATAATTTGCAGCAACTGAACTGCCTGATCTGTAGAGTGTATCGAACTAACAACAAAGTCATCATTTTGTAAATGAAGACTTTTATGAGTCTAGAAAATAACTTATATATTATTTTTATTTTATAAATTTAATCACAATCAATTAATATTATCATATTTATATATAAAAAAACACATTTTGTTTTAAATCTCTAACCTAATATCCTCATATTAAAATGCATCATACTCATGATCACATCCACATTAATTTCACAATCAAACGTCACCATTTATCTTAATCGGAATCCCTTCCCATTATAATTTGCAGCAACTGAACTGCCTGATCTGTAGAGTGGTGGTGGAAAGTGTTAGAAATAAACTCATGATTTGGATTGACCAATAAAACCCCTTGATCATCTGTAATATTTGTGATGTATACCATAAAATATAATACTAGTCTACTATCTGTTTCTGTTGACGACAGATTAACGTGAGATGCTGCCACATGCAGATTAGGAGCAGCAGATTTTCCAACTAATTCACTCGACAACAAGGCCCAGATGCATAATTTGTCATCATGGTAATCAAAAATTAGATTTGGATTGTAAAATTTTATGATTTTACAATTCTAGTTAGGCCAAATAATTCGAATCACATTAGCATCTTAAATTTTGTAAGATCTTAAAATAATTACAATCTTAGTTATAAAATTGTGTAAAATAACACTATAATTTCGATTCTACATCAATCCCAATCTTACATTTTTAAATTATGTTAATATACAATATCATAATTATCATTTTGTGTAATGATTCTAAAACTATATAACATATATTATCCTTATAAATAAATTTTTCATTTCTTTTGTATTAAAAGTAAAATATCTTACTATACTTGATCTTATCCTACAATTTTTTTTTTTTTAGCAGATCTTATCCTACAATTTGATTCATGAATCCATCCCATCGATCCGACTTAAATTTCCAATTTTAAGAACTTTGTTTGTGACACAAGATTTCAGAATCTTTTATGGCAGCGTCCATTTGGGAACCCCCAAGAAATCCTTTTGAATTTAGGCGGATTTAAGGTGGTCAATATGGATTATACATTTAAAACAATTCAATACAAACATATCTATTTAAACTGTTTGATTTGTGGGTTTTTTTTTCTTGTTTTTTTGACTAAAAATACCATAAAGTCATAATAAAGTCAAAATCCAAAAACAAAAAACCGTTTGGTTATGTTTTGGAGTTGTGGTTCCAATCAAAAAAATTTAAAATTTTTTTCAAAACTCATAGTCAAAAATTTTTTCTCAAAACTTAAAACTCAATTCAAAAACTATTTTCAAAACTCATAAACAAACACACAACTCAAAACTCAATTTAAAATTCTTTTCAAAATTCTATTTTAAAAATAAAAAAAATATATATATTCAAAAAAAATATTTTTTTTTTTGTTTTTAAAATTATTTAGGCTTTGCTGCAAGTGAAGTTCTTATTTGCCCTCTTATTTTTTATTGAATCAGAGGTATCTTAATAAACGACCCCTTAGGAATTCATCTATTTAAACCTTGCCAACATTCCAAAGTTTTTGACTGTGGAATCTTTGTCCTAATAGAACTTGATGATGACAACATATAAATAGCTATGAGATCATATAACTCAATATAAGGTTGGGTTATAGGATTTTCTAGAAGCATTGGACGTTGTTGGGCCTGGAAGATTGTGGTTATTATTTAAAATTCTTTACAAGAAGAACCATTTTAATGTGATCCCAACCTGCTTCTATTTTCTTTTCCCTTCTAAAAAAAAGGTGCCTGCTTCCCTAACAATTCATTCCCTAAATTATAATGCTTCATCTTGACGTTCAAATTCTATAATTAGTTGCTGTGTTCTAGCACATATAATCTCAAAAACTAATAACCAATCACCATAGGATTTAAGCTTTTCTAAACCTTATTACTAGGCAGATATAACCACAACATTCGAGAGAGGAAGAAAATTAACTAATCTATTATGGTATAGAGAGAGAGAGAGAACACAAAGGTTTAACGTGATTCAACCAATATTGACCTACATCCACACGCATAAAGCCTTATGGGCTACATCTTTCATTCCCTCAACTTAATACTATTATTTACATGATATACCATATATATAGAGTGGGAGATACAATCAAATCCCTTCAGTTAAGGGATTGAAATAAATCAAAGATACAAAAAATCATTATACGCACAAATTATGGGATCTCTATATATTCTGAATCTTTAACAATATAGTCTTATCTTCAACAACTTACTACAACATTATGAATGAGTCTGATTATTGTCTCGGTAAAGGATTAAGTTTAGAACTTGTGGAACAATATTTAAATGTAAAAGCTTTTTTGTAAATGACTCAATGGTTCTTATGCATTTTGTAAGAGGCTCGCGAAAAATCTGATTGAAAGAATGAAATCTTCCTAGGGGTAGGACCAACTGCCGACCTCAACTATTCAAGTTTTTGCATGAATTGTGTTTTTTTTTTTGTTTTTTGTTTTTAAAATTATTTAGGCTATGCTGCAAGTGAAGTTCTTATTTGCCCTCTTATTTTTTATTGAATCAGAGGTATCTTAATAAACGACCCCTTAGGAATTCATCTGTTTAAACCTTGCCAACATTCCAAAGTTTTTGACTGTGGAATCTTTGTCCTAATAGAACTTGATGATGACAACATATAAATAGCTATGAGATCATATAACTCAATATAAGGTTGGGTTATAGGATTTTCTAGAAGCATTGGACGTTGTTGGGCCTGGAAGATTGTGGTTATTATTTAAAATTCTTTACAAGAAGAACCATTTTAATGTGATCCCAACCTGCTTCTATTTTCTTTTCCCTTCTAAAAAAAAGGTGCCTGCTTCCCTAACAATTCATTCCCTAAATTATAATGCTTCATCTTGACGTTCAAATTCTATAATTAGTTGCTGTGTTCTAGCACATATAATCTCAAAAACTAATAACCAATCACCATAGGATTTAAGCTTTTCTAAACCTTATTACTAGGCAGATATAACCACAACATTCGAGAGAGGAAGAAAATTAACTAATCTATTATGGTATAGAGAGAAGCGCAAGGAGTACAGCTGGTATTGATGTTGTCATGAG